CATACAAGAATGAAGTGGGAGAGCGAGGAGGAATGAGACAGTGAAAGGGTAATGTATGAAATATGATAACATCCCTCATATCTCTGTCTCTTACCTTGCTCACCTTCCTCTGGCCCGATCTCCTAAAATGAAATCTGTCTACTCGTAATGAATCCCTGCTTGTCTTTCTTTTCTCTCATGTGGCCCAAAAGACCTGAAGCACCCAGGGAAGTACTCCTTGATCCGTTCTGATGGCCAGTAACAGCAAACTAATGAAAGACTGAAAATACAAAATATAGGATAAATTACCAGAGGGGAATAACTACTTCAAAAATAACTTCATTTTGTAACAGGGTTAACGTCATGTGAGAACTACTCATACAAAAGCTATTTGGTTTAGTTGCTGAAGAATAATGTGAAAAAAGCTGTTGTGGTTTACCCCCAGCCAGCAACTAAGCACCATGCAGCCGCTCACTCACTCCCCCCCCATCCAGTGGGATGGGGGAGAAAATCAGGAAAAGAAGTAAAACTCCTGGGTTGAGATAAGAACGATTTAATAGAACAGAAAAGAAGAAACTAATAATGATAATGATAACACTAATAAAATTACAACAGTAGTAATAAAAGGATTGGAATGTACAAATGACGCGCAGGGCAATTGCTCACCACCCACCGACCAACACCCAGCCAGTCCCTGAGCGGCGATTCCCTGCCCCCCCCTTCCCAGTTCCTAAACTAGATGGGACGTCACATGGTATGGAATACACTCTTGGCCAGTTTGGGTCAGGTGCCCTGGCTGGGCATGAGAAGCTGAAAAATCCTTGACTATAGTCTAAACACTACTGAGCAACAACTGAAAACATCAGTGTTATCAACATTCTTCACATACTGAACTCAAAACATCGCACTGTACCAGCTACTAGGAAGACAGTTAACTCTATCCCAGCTGAAACCAGGACAAAAGCACAGTGAATTGTTTCTGTTTTAATACAAATCACTTTCACATTTATTCTAGAGCTGGTTTTGCTGTTTCTATAATTTGTGCTTTATCCAGTTAAATATTCACATGAGTTGTGATACTGAACATTTACTTTTCCCTTGACAGTTATTTTCTAAGCACAGTTCTTTGTTTAATATGTTCTGGCCTCATGTATATTTGACAGCCTCTAAGGAGTGTTATTCCTCTGGAAGTAATAAATGAGTTCTATTTGTTATATTTTCTCAAGAATTTCTGCCACAAGCAACTCAGGTTGCAACTGAGATATTATATTCATTCTCAAGACTTCATCGTAAGTCTTTGGCTTGAATAAAAACCACATATCTGTGATTTTACGTGCTGGGTATCTTAAGATCCATAAACTCAGCACACTCCAATGAGGCAAGAAGAGTTGCAACAGTTTGAGTGCACAATCACTGTACGAATAACACTCAGAACTACCACAATTATCTGAAAGTCATCAGGGAGCCCAAATAAGACCTGATACTCAAAGCAATTAAAGTATAGTTGCTATTTATTGCCTCACAGAATACACAGACATAATAATATCATCTTTTCTAGACTGTTACCGCTGAGCTAATGCGCCAGAATTCTACTAGGTCCTCTGGAAGAGCTGCTATTTAAAAAAGCTGTAAATAGAGGACAGCAACTCTTTGAGGTCATTACAGAATCAACAACAGTGGTTTTGGTAAGAACAGGGTCTTTTGCAAAAACAACCATCTTTGAAAAAATTGCCTTTGGGAAATTTTATTCTGCCTTTTTAAACTTATATTTCATTAGATGCTTCCCAATCCCTGTGTTGTGATTACTGGGGAGAAAGCCTAACAACAAATATACAATTAATTCTGCAGCATTAACTACTTAAAGTGATTTTGGCATTAACTGGCACAAAAAATAAGATGTTAAATTGATAGCCTTTTTTCCAAGTTGTTGAGCTCTAATCTTATGTCACCAAAGGAAACAGGAACTAAATCAGACCTAAAGACACCAGTACCAGAAATCTCTATCATGATTCCACAAAGGCAAAGTTCATTTCAAGTTCTCTGGAAAACTGAAGATGTGCCTGCTTTTGTACAAAGCCTGACCATGACTTACTGCTATATGAGGTCTAATCATTCTGCATTGGAACTACATATCCCTGCATTTTAAAGGAGTTTCATTAACTGTTTGTAGATTTATCATTGTAAATGTCCCTTGATTTTAAGGAAAACAACAGGCTCTTTGTAAATTTTAAAGGTCCTCCTCTGTATACTTTAAATTAAGACTTTGTAACTAAAAAGCTAGCAAGAGAATTCAGCCTTCTACAGCTCCATTCATTTTAGTAATCTCTGAACATTACTGTGAAAGGATCATTAATCCTACCAGTCCTCCTTGCATAGCATTTTCTTTCAGTCCAGTCTCAAAAAGGAGACAAAACCCTGCAAATTTTAAGTCAAGCCATTGTGTAACTATGCCAAAGTCAGTTATTGTTTAGCTATGCCATGCTTGGAAACAAATGAATAACGAAAATGTTTTATCCTGACATGAAAAAAAATTTCTAAAGTTATGAGAACAAGTGTGCAGCCATTTGACACTTAGTGAAAACCTTAATGGCCTGAGGAATCATTTTGTTAGTCAGATCCGACTCCCTGCATAACAAGGACTGTTATACCAGTTTAGTAGACACACATTTTAAGTGATATGTCAAAACCTTCTAGGGCTCATCTGTACCCTAAAATGGAACATGGTATTGGGATGTTTGTGCTAGAAGAGGCACCAGCTGAATCTATGAAGTGCCTTATCTAAATTTGCCACAATTGGTAACAGTATGGTCACAAAGTGGTGAAGTCAAATCAGTAATGTCTCAATCTCAAGGTCAAGCTGCAACAAAACCATCTACAAGAAAAAAAGCTGGTGAATCAGGCCAATCCATAATTTTTTCTTGTTAAATGATGGAGAACCAATAAAGGCACGTGCATTGTCACTTGCTGAAACCTGGAGGACTGCTGCAGGGAGTAGGCTTTGGACCATATGTCTTCTCCTGGCAGGCAGCCAGACTGTGGGATGTAGCCTTGACACCCTGGTCAGGAGGCTAGAAGAGACAGAAATGGCCTCCAATAGCTTGACATATCAAGCAGTTTCCTGAGAGCTTCCCCCTTTTCTGCACTACCTAAGGACAGCAAATACTAAGAAGATAACGGGACACAGCAACTTAGTTTTACCAGAAGAACATGTAACAGAATAAAGATCACCCTCAGCTCAGAGCGAGAAGGCACAAGCATACACCTCAGACCTCTCCTGCTCTGTGCACATCTCTCCCTGCTGTGTTTGCATCTGCTAAACTCTTTGCAGAAAGCCACAACTGCCTGACCGAGCAACACAGTGCACACGAGAGTCCACGTCAGTGAGCACCGTGTCATCTCCCTGTACAGCCATATGTTCAAAAGCCTGTCAGGGAAGACACGGTCCCCGGACAGACACTGCTATGCCACATCCTTTGGGGTCTGGAGCGGCGGGGCAGCAGCCACAGCCCGACCCTGTAAGCACCGCTATCTGCCATGAGACTCACACCAGCGTTGGGGGGAGCCAAGAGATCTGCACTTTGACGTGCACCAAGAGACCAGATATGACGACCTTTTCAAAACAGTAGTTTATCTGACTCAAAATAGCATTATAAAAACAACCACCTTCCGTAAACACATCAAACAAATAAATGGGAGTTAATTTCTTAGCATTTTTCAGAACTAGAAGCTGTATTTACTTTTCAACAGACAACAAAATTTCCCCGTGCTGGCACTAACTAGTTTTTTTATTACTACTGCAGTGCTCCAACAGGCACATTAATAATGCAAATGCCCCGCATCTCACATTCGTTACTAGTTATGGGATAAGGCAGAGTGTGTCAGCGCATCGTATCGGCTTTCGGGCAAAATGAGACGTTTGAGAATCATCTGCTGCTAATGGGAAACGTTCTTCATTTACAAATTCATATTCAATGTTTTTGTTAACTTCTGTTTAGATCTCATCCCAGTATACAATAACCAAGCTGTGTAAACATTGACTCATTTCACAAACGAAAACTACAAATGAGTAGTTTTGGTCTAAAAACCCTATAAACGTACACTTAGGAAATGCTTATCCTGCATCCATCCCCACCACAAAAATCCAGCCTACGAAGCTTTCAGTATCTTAAAGACCATGTCACTAATCTGCAGCAGACATTAATCTAATGCACGCAACTTTGTTATTTGTACTTTCTTTCATGAAGACAATATGCCACAATAATATACTCCCTTTAATCATCAATCCACTTATATAACGTTCCTGACTTCCAGCACTAATCTGTAATGCCGCCCTTCCTCCAGTGAGCCTCCCGCGGAAGCCAGATTACCTGCAAATGTCTGCTGGCTGGGTTTAACTGCTCATTCCCTTTTAAATTAAACGATAAAGAAGGGGAAGGCCTCTTCAGGCAGCACCGTTTCTCAGGCTAGAAAAATACATTTGTAATCTCCCCAACTCGCAAAGCTGTTTTTTAAGAGCGTGAGCAAAACTATTAAATCTCTGTGTGAGGAAAGTCTTCATTCTGAGCGTAAGATTACATGGGGGGGGGGGAGAAAGGTGTTTCAACGCCTTCCCATCCCACACGGCTGTGCCAGCGCTCCGAGACTTCGCCTCCTACGCTGAGTTAGCACCCGCAGGGGAGGCCCACGAGGTCCTCGCACCTCACACCAACAGCCGTGATGGCGGTGGAGGGGGAACAGGCCGGAGGCCGGCTCGGCAGCCTCGGGGGGGATGAGTGGGATCCCCCACCCGGCCGAGGGACGCCCTCCCTGCCACGGCGTTGGGTGCGGGCAGCCCGGTGACGGGGCTTTCCGTGGGTTTTCCGTGGGTTTTCCCGCCTTTCGCCCGGCGTTGCCCCGTACCCACCCTCTCCCCTCAGGCCCCGGGGAAGGGGACGGACTACATTTCCCAGAATGCTCGGGGGGGGACCCGCCTCTTCTCGCGAGGAAGCGTCGGCGGAAGTGGCGAGGCGCGGCCCGGAAGCGCCGCTGCCGTGGAGACGGGAACCGGGACCTGGACCCATCATGGCCGAGACCGACCCGAAGACCGTGCAGGATCTCACCGCCGTGGTGAGGCCGCCGGGACCGGGCCAACCGCCTCGGGGGGTGGGGGGGGAAGCGGGGCCGCAGAGCCGCCTCCCTGAGGAGAGGCCCCGGCGGGAAGGGGTAGAAGCCTCCGGCCTCGGCCCGTTGGCGGGCCCTGGCGTTACCTCCCGGGGCCCAGCTTGGGTAACCCGCGTCTGCCTGCTGTTGGAGGGGCTGCTGGGCTTGTGGTGTCGCCTGGGTCTTTTCCCCGGGTCGTCGTGTAAACCGGTTCCACTGTAGAGTTGTTTCTGCCGAGTCCCTGAGGGACAGCTCGGCTCAGAGCGGGCCTCCCTTGGGCAAGGAGGAGTTATCTGTGTCCGGGAGGGATATGCTGAAGAGCAAGGGTTTGGGAGTGCGGAGAGGAAGGCTGTTATTCTGATGGGGAAAGTGTCACCGTGTGATTAACGTAGGACGCTGGAAGCAGCTGTTGTGGGTTTAGTCCTGGTTGTGCAACGCAGGCGTTTTCTAGATCTTAAAGTTGTTTGCTGTGAGCTTCGGTTCTTCTGTGTGTACATTCATATAGATGTGAAAATGTGATACTTAAATATGGAATTATACTGCAGAGTTTGTGCACGGTTGAGCTCAGCAGTGAAAGAAAACATTGTAATTACCTCATTACATGAGACTAAATACTGTAACAGCCTCTTTAATGAAAACAAAACAGACTTCTTTTTTTTCCTTTCTATTAGGTGCAGACATTGCTTCAGCAAATGCAGGACAAATTTCAGACCATGTCTGACCAAATAATTGGAAGAAATATCCTTTCTTAAGGGCAGATAGGTGCTATACACTACAGAATCAAAAGTATTTAAAAGTATATTTATCAGTGGGATTTGTAAGATAAATTTAAAGTGACCAGAAGAGTTTGAGCAAAGCTGTAATAAAAAGCAAACAAACAAAAAATCCCAACCACTACTAGATTGCAATCATAGTCCTTAACTCCAGTGAACTTGATGACATGAGCTGTCGCATAGATGACCTGGAGAAGAACATAGCAGACCTCATGACACAAGCGGGAGTGGAAGAATTGGAAGGCGAGAACAAGACCCCTGCTACTAACAAGAGTTAAAGTGAGACAATTGCTTGCTAACCTTGAAACAAATCCTCAGGTCACTTGAAAATACCGACTTTAAAGTAAATGGACTTTTTCCTTTGGTTTGTGAGGTAGTCTGAAATTCATGCAGAGCAGAACTACATATATATATAGTATTGTACTCTCTCTATATAGAATTATATATGGTGTTATAATACAAGAAGCCTTAAGAAGCTCTTCTCAGCAGGCTCCTACTAGCCTCTTCAGCAAGGATGTTTTCCTCATCAGTATTGGGAAGAAAATTATTTTCTTCATGTCTAGGTAGCTTTGAGGAAGTGCAATAGCTGTATTCATCCTCTGGTTCTCTGAGTGTGATCTGAAATAATGACTGTCTTTGCAGCATGGGAAGGAGAAGAGATGGGAAAAAATACCAGCAGCAAACCGAGCTGTTCTCTTTTTTTTTCTCATCATATTTGAGTGTTCTGAAAAGGGGCGTAATCTCACGTACGTTACCAAATCAGCTCCAATTTCCATAGCTGGCAAGTTAGTGTGAGCATGGTGCTAATCTTCCATCTTCCGCTGCATCCTCTAGACTTCAGCTCCCACTAAGCTCCTAAAGATTGTAGACTTGCTGCTGTGCACAGGGGCTAATGAGTGAGCTACTATAAATTCCTCCTGTGTAAGTTAGGAGCTTGTTGGAAGTATGTGACTCACACGTACTACTGCAAAGCAGCAGGTCCTGACTCGACAGTGTAAGACAACACTCAGAGATGAGGTAGGGCGTATTCTAGGGCAATGCTCCCTGGAAAAAGAAATTTCTTATTGAAAGGTTAAATGTGATATATATTCTTCTTATGTAATTTCTTAATTGATAACCTGCCCCTATATTATACAAAAAAATTGGAGAAGTAGATGTTTCATCTACTTGGCAAGCAGCAGTTCAAAATCTAGTACAAAACCATGTAAATAAATTCAGGTGATCAGGTAGGACCACACACAGCATTTACAATTGCTAAAGGCATTTCAGAAGATGGGGGCAATGCAAGAGTGCCAAAACTGTTACAGCATAAACAAGGGGGGTGTGTGTGGTGCTTAAGTATGATACGTAAGCACTAAGATTTCACTTCAGTTTGTAGAGAGCTTGATTTTTGTAATCCATGGAAAGCAACTGGTAAGTAAAGTACAGGATGTATCGCGTTAGATTCACTTTTTTTTCTCAGGTGGCTAAGACAGACATATCTCAGCCTCTCTTAGGCTTGAAATTCTGAGGTCATGTCTAGAATGCTATGCAGCCTGTGTAATAGGCATGTGTGTTTGAAACAGGTATACATCTTGCTTGTTAAAGTACCTATTTTTTGTGATACTTTGACAGAAATACAAATTATTATGGGTGTCATTGCCCCCTGTGCCAGTTCCCTTAGCCTGAACCTCACAAATGAAAATTTCTGATGAGTATGATTCTCTTAATTCTTCTCAGTAACATTTTTTATTCTTATTATTTTTCCCCAACAGATTGCCAGTAGCTTAGGATGAATCCTGGAAGATTTCTTTTTTTTTTTTTTTTTTCCTACAAGTCCTTGGAATTACAGAACAGCTTTTTGCAACTACTGTGTGTAAAAGCATTTTTATATTGTTACAGAGCTTGCATTCCTAATGTATATTGTATAGTTAGGGATAGATTAGTTTATATTTTGATTTGTGTACTGTAATTTCACTTTTTGAATTCTTGTTATGAGGATCAATTAGTTGTGTTATTAAAACACTGATCTTCTGGTTCTCAAATACTGGGTGTATTTTTTTGTGAAGTCACTTTCTCTTTCTTATACTTTTTCTAGACGTTTCATTTTTGATAGCTAAACATCTAGTGACTCCCATTAAATCGAAATCTTAACTTGTCTAATGTAACTTTGTAGAGTGAAGCACAAGGTTGAAACTTTTCATTAATCTTAGCTCTGAGCATCAGTCACTCAACTAGTTGAGGACTATGTGCCGTTTTCTCGTAAATGTAATAAGGTGATTTTGGAAACATAAGGCACTGAATATCAAAATCATATCTCCTACTCCTGGTATTACCTTACCTGTGTGTTCCTAGAACATAAACCAGAAATAGAGATTTAACATTAGAGATGTTTGTACACAGTTGAGCAACCACTGCCATTAAAATCTGTTACATTTAGACAGACAAGGAACTATTAACTATGAAAAATCTCACTATGGGATTTAAGTTTTTTAACACTGTAAAACTCTACTTTGAAACTGCTGATGTGTCATTTAGCATCACCTTTGAACAATAATTATGATTAAAATAGCAACGCTGGACAGAACAGGGATGGAATTGTGGGAGTGTCTGTATGTGGTCTTTCAGTTTAAATCACCAGCTCGTTGTACAAAACAGTTTGCTAACAAAGCAATGTTATACTGAGTAACAAAAAAGGAGAGAATCCAGTTAGAATTGTAAAGCCTTTCTTCTCTTTGAATAACAACTAGCCGGAACTCTTCAAAATACTTGGTTTGGAAAGGTGTTTGTTTTTCTAATCACATCCACGTTTATGGCCCTGGAGTGTAATGGACTACGTTACAGTATTTTGGCAATGAAAAGTGTATTATTTAGAAGAGTCTGTACTATGTCACGTGTGAAGAAAAATGACCACTGTCGGATATTACTGACAATCGTTGCAATGCTCCTCAAATTTGAAATACAAGTTTAAGAAAGCACTAGTAGCAGTCAGCAGTTATATGTGGACCATACTTAAGACTGCTCTTTGAATGCCACCAAATTAGCACCTGTGTATTATGAAGGCAATATGACAGGTCATTTTTCAAAACTGAGGGGAAATTGTAATAAAGGCTTGTAATAATAGGGGAATTTTGTGAACATAGGAAATATACCAATACACCTTGTAATACTAGCCTTAGGCTCTTTGTAATGTCATTTAAAAAATCTAATAAAGTATTATGTGGTAACAAATAGTCAGGTCATATATATTAAAGCAAAATCTAGCATAAGGATATCATTATATGTGAGATTGTATTTAGTTATAAGTTATAGAAAGAGTTTAGCACAGCTGCGGCTTATAGAACATAGTCTAGATATACTAGAATATAGTCTGTATTATAAAAGGGTGAGCATGATTCATGCCCTGTAAAATCTGGATTTTACTAGGTAATTACAATATAGACCAAATTCATAGGAAAATATATTAAAGTGGAGGATCATTTTGTATGATGTTTATACAACTATAAATTCTCATCTGGCCACCTTCCTCCTGTGGGAGAAATGGTCATTCTTGAATTTGCTTGTGCTGTCCTATATACAGCAGTAGTAGGCCTGCTTTCCTGAAGTTTATTGTGTCAGAATAACTTACTGGAAAATTATTTCAGCTTTAAGAAGCAGATAGATTATCCAAGTCATCGGAAAGATTCTAATCACTTTTCAGTAGAGATAGTCTTCCATCATAAATTTAACACTTAACTGATTTTGTAAAGTAATAATCCAATTCAAAACAAGCCTTTCAGACGGGAAGGTATTACTTGTAGCTCTTTAAACTCTGCATATTTTTGAGAAACATGTTTTATTCTTACTCAGAACCAGTGATGGAGCTTCTACATATAACCAGCACATGCAAACCAAAGTACAATCCCTTTTGGCCACGTTTTCTTGAAGTGCAGTTAGTGTAATTGACAAAGAAAGCACAAGAGGACTGTTCTTAAGTGTTACTTTATATGGATTTGATAAGACTTTACAAAATAATAGTGGAGGGGGGGGGGTTCTGAATATGCTGGTTCGCATCTTACCTGACAAATAATTTGTCCCTTCCAGTGGGCTGCCTCAGTTGCAAAGAAGATGATCAAGCTCTTGAATAGGGACTGTCTTCCTTATTAGAATATGAAGAAAGCTGTTGCATATATTCATTTAAATCAAACTACGTGCTCTGTTCTGTTCAGGACTGTCATTTGAGACTGCAGGTTGTGTTTTTTAGTTATTTAACTCTATGCTAAAGTCTGTTTAAGCACTTTCTACTTTTAAGAGAAATTTTCTGCTACCTGTCATCATGGTAACATACATTTGGATTTTATCGTTGATGTATTTATCTCCTACAGTGTATTTTCACAAACAGTTACAGATTAAATGCACCCTACTCTGGTTTCCTGGTACAAGCAGGTGTGGTGGATGGTGCATTTTCCAGTTTGCAGTTCAAAGCTGGTGTTGACTTTGAGCAGACCCGTCTGCTCTGCCTGTGTGAGTGAGCATGGGTATCATCTGCTCACGTCTGCCTCCTGCCTACCTGCAAGTGGGGAAAGGGTTTCTGGTATGATAGGTGCCATCTCAGAGGAGGTGAGATGGAAAATGTGCTGTCTTGAACTTGCCGCTTCCTTCATTCTTTCCTGTCCTAGCCCAAGCAGCAACTAAGGGGACAGCAAAGCTACTTTCTGGAAGTGAGTGTGAGGTATGGAATTACACAGAGCAAGTAGAGAGTCTACGGGTCCTGCATTTATGGGAAAAAGGAAGAACAGCTAAGGACGGAGAAGACAGAACCCCCCCTGCTCCTGCCTAAGTTCCTCAAGCTCTCCACTGTCTCTGCTCTCATCTCGCCACTTCTGCTCCAGATTTCCATTACCACCATCCTCTTCAGCCCCTGCTTCTTTTCCACTCTGACTCTTCAGAGCTGTTACTGAGGAAAAAGCCACTGTTTCCAAACTGTTTCCAGGTAACTACTGAGTATAGACGCTCTCACAAAAGATTTACATTGGGAACAGCAAATAGAATCGTTTTTTTTCTATGACAGGAATTACGAGTGACACCATGCAAGTCTTCAACCACAATTTTCATAGCCAAGCATTAATAACAGTATTGTTTTCTGAATGCTAGACTTAAGACCTAACAAGCCAGAAACAAGCTGAAGATCTCTGGAGATCTTTGTGTGGCCTATGTATTTTACACTGGGCAACAGAAATAAATTTGAAACTCCTGTCTCGTCTCTTCTGGTGTCTTAATTCCTGTCTTTATAGCAGGAATGATACTCTGTCAGTAGAGAGGAACAGTGTCATAATAAATCCATGTTTTGAAACACTTAGGCCCACTGATGAGTGATCCAGAATTATGGTATGCTTAAGAGGATTTTTCATTTAATCTCTGCCCTAAAGACAATGTACGGTAAATAAGACTGCACACAGATAGCTCTTCAACTAATACCATCTGGTCCATGCACTAAATGAAGCTGGTTATAGGCCAGAGCAACCCACTAAACTACGACACTTGCTGTCTGCAAGAGCTAGTTTCGATGCCTTCCTTTCCCCGAGTTGAACCCAGGTCTCCCAGGTGCCCGGCAGGTGCCATCGCTGCATTGCTGCCTGCTTTGGGACGGAGCTCGTGAGAAATTACTTGGACTTCATCTTGCAAGTCTCGCGGTCACTTCTTGGCAGGGGAGACAGGGAACATTTGTGCATATTCATGTTATCTGGCCACCTCTCGACTTACTGTCTCAACACTCCCAATAAAGTACCGTTGGTTCCTTTCCTTAGATGAGTGAGGCATGGGGAATTGGTTTGCCTGAGATTACTATAGAAATCAGTAAGAGACCTAACCCATCTGTCTTCCAAACCCTGGGGGAGTGCTGAAGTCATTCAGGGGTTCTTCCTCCAAACTTGAAAGCTCATGAAATTAATTCCTTCATGCTGTAAATACATTTGACACAGTGCCTTTGGAAAGAAAATAATTTTGATTCTGTCTGGTTTTGCTGTGAAGCACCTGTAACCAAGGACAGAGATGCTGTCCATCCTCTCGCTAAAATTACACCTGAGTCTGCAGTTTTTCTGGAGGTATTCACATGGAATTATTTAATGAAGCTCTTCACTTTTCCTCAAGATGATAACTTTCTAGCAGAGAGTGCCTTCTAGTGGGCACACTGTCACTAATACAAGGAACACTACTCGGATTAATTATTTGGTTACCTTTAATGTACAAGTTCAGATGTTAGGACTTTAATGAGCCACATGCTGTTTTGAAATGCGGTTATTACACAAGACACTGAGGCTTTGTTTACAATTAAGAAAATTAATAGGATACACAAAGCCCTTCCTGAGCTTTAAGCCTTACTGTGTTTTGAAAAGACCTGATGCTCGCTGAGATTTTTTTTTTTCTGACTCCAATGTGGAGTTAATGAAATTAGATCATTAGGAAAATAAAGCATGGGAATAGAAACTTTATGTCTTATAAATACTCTGAGATAAGAAAGATTAAACAGGAAATGTCTCTCTGAAAACTGCACATGTATTAATAGAAAGTGTTCTTTTATGTCATTTTGCTACAGGCCTGACATTTTTTATTTATGAGGCTCTTGTAGTCAGATACATATGTAAAAATTTCTTCAGTTTACAAAGCTGTAGAATATACAATCCTTGCTCAAAAGATTAAATCCTGTTCGAAATAGCACCTGGAGAAGTGATGCAATTGTGTGTTTCTCAAGTCTCAGATTCATAGGTGTTCATCTGACAAGCCTGGGTGGAAGACCTGTGACCCTGTTGTGCAAGCCCTCATACAGATATGGAAAATAGAGCAAAATAATCCATCCTTTTATGGGCAAAATGGAGAAAACAGGCAAAGCACTACCTGAAAAGTGGAGGCAAAAGAGACGAGAAAAATTACTTAAGGCTTCACAGCACATCAGTGGCTGAGCCAGGCCTTCGATTTAAATCTTTCTTAAGCGACCTGCAAAAAACATTTGAGACAGACTAGTTAGCACTTGCCTGTCCCAAAACAGGTAGGCAGGCAGGTGTACTTG